ATAATACTGTAAAACCATGAATAGAAGCCCATGGACTTCATCTCAAGAAGTAGTCCATTTCAAAAAGAAGCCCCACCACCCTCTTCAGTTTGCAAAAGTAATCTGGAAAGGAAGCCCATGGGCTTCTAATCAAGATAATATGGACTTCTTTCGAGATAGTATTCATACTGACGTTATCTTTGGTTATTATGATAATGATAATATTATTTCATTGTATTAGCATGGTTAAAATTTAAAAATAATAAACATAATTTTGTGTTCAATAATTGAAAAATGTGGTATAGGAGAAATTCAGAAATTTACAAAATTAATTTTGAAAGGCCCCCCCCCCCTCCTTCTTCTTTGGTTTATGAAAGTAATCTCGAAAAGAACCCCATCCAAGGGTCCTAAAAAAAACAAAGCAAGCAGCCCAGGGCGATCCTTTTTGAGGTTTAAATGTAGCTAGTTTTCAATTTGTTCATTACAACAGGAACATCAATGGCAAGATTTGTTTGTAGCAGCTGAAATTGAACAGTGATCAGATCATAAATAAATGAAATACTGTAGTAGCCATTTTAATGTATTAGGCAAAAAATGTTAAGTTCTATACTTGAAATTGGTGATAAGTATTATTAGGTATTGTACAGCTGCAGGTTTTGTTGTTTTGTAATGTTTCCACAGTGAATTTATAAGTAAATTAACTTTCTATGATTGAGATAGATGTGAATTTTTTTAAAATAAACAAAATGTTTATGCTCTTATGCTAACAATGTCATGTTTGCTTTGTTGTTTATTAAATCGTCATCATGGATATTGTTGCTAAGGTATCATGCGTAAATGCACATGCACGTGCGTCTTTGGACAGAAAATTTCTATTCACGACTTCTAATTGGTCTGATGTAGAGTTTGGCACTCTGGGAAGGTCCATTTATTGCTATAATTATCGAACATTAAAATAATATGCTGTATGCTGTAAAACTGTATATTTTAACACAAAGACAATTTCCCACCATGAGACTTTGATAATGGCAGGAAATTGTCCTACCCCATCCGTAGACATGAACGTGTCGTAATCGGTACAGTTCAGGGGCGGATTTAGGGGGAGCCGGCCCGCCACCGAGGTAAAAAAAAAAGGGGAAAAAAGAGAGAAAAAGATAAAAATGATAGCCCAGAATGCCTCAAATGTTATGTTCGGGCGTCTAGAACACAAAAATTTCGCGGGGGCATTCCCCCAGACCCCCTACGACAGTGTTGTCTCAATCGGTCCAACTTACGGCCCCCCACTTCCGGGGGGCCCCCTTTTGGACATTTCTGGATTCGCCCCTGCAGGTATTGAAAATAGTTGAAAGCCTAGCCGGTATTAGTGGGGGTCCAGGGTTGAGGATCCCATCCGTTAAAGTTAAAGTCGGGAAATTTTTCTCTCAGTCCAACGGCTGCAGAAGCGGAGGGCCAGGATGGCCATTGGTCCACCCACCTTTTTCTACTGGTGGGAGCCCTGCCCCCCACCCCCACATTTGTGACTGTTCCCAGCACCAGTTCCCTTTTTGAGTTGAGCAACCAAATGTTGATTGACGTCTGTATACCTGCGTCTGTAAAGTTTCCTTGAAACCGAGCATGAAGAAAAAATCGCCTACATTCGTGACTTGTATTTAGGCATATGGGGTTGGGGGTGGGAGAGGAGGTAAGCACGCTTAATGGAGCGACGTTCTAGTTTTATTTATGCTAATAACCACACGAAGATGTATAATACATGTAACTGATTGGCTTACAGTAAACCTTCAAACTAGCGTAATATAACCACATTTAAACTCCATCTAATTTAACGAAAACAATAAGATATTGTATTCAAATTTAAGTCTCACAGTGGCATTTCTGGCCATCTAGAGTTGCCATAATCATACATTTTCTTAGCTCAGCCCGAACCTGGTGGTCTACATCCTCTATCTGTGAAAGCCCCTCTCTGAGCCCCCTTTATTTGAAATTCCTGGTTCCACCACTGCACTGTACTGGATTTGAATTTATATGAAATGACACAAGAAGAAAATAATTCCATGTTTAAGAGTAAATCCCAGTCAATTCGTATTATGACAGTATGCAGGGGGAAAATCCAATCAGTTTATCATGAAGGTAAAACGCATTGTGAGCCTATACAATGATCAAGGGAAAAGTTCATTTATATTCTTATGTTGAGTGAAACTCTGATGACCAAATCAGTGGTGATGCCAGTGGAGTCTGAGTGGTTACACCCCCTTCCCCTCCACCGCCAAGGGAGGCTCCCCAGCCGGGGAGAAAAAGAAAACGAAATTTGGTGAGGAAAAAAAATGATTTACGTGGTATGAGACTCGTTTAAAGCCTTTCAAATCTCTAAATTGTCAGTGTTCCCTGCCCAGGGGAGTTCCCTTCTGGGTCCCTTGTGAGGGTTCTGGGATCATCATCCCCTTATTATTATTTATATTATTATTTATATTATTATTATTATTATTATTTTTATTAGTATTTCATATTTTTTCTGGGCATCCAGGTAAACAAAGTTTCCACGGTACTGTAAAACCAGCTACATTCAACAACATTGGGCCCCTCCGCTCTTTTACAAAAAAAAAAGCTGGATAGCCCTTGAATGTTAGTGCTCTATATTATGTCATCTCCTGTTAGATCTACCTGGAGGTACCTACATTTATTGACTAAAATTAGAGTGTTTACTAGAGGGAAACAGATGATTTAATTAAAACATTTTTTAACGATTTAAGTGATAGTACAACTTATCTAGAGCGTGATAAATAATTTATTATGCTTCAGGTTGAATTTGGTAAGTACGTGTAATTAAACTTGTTCCAGCAGTATGTTTCTCGAAACTATACGTTATCTGTGTAGGCATAGGCCTACTGTATTTCCAAAGTTAATTCATAGCATAAATTGTATCCTGTGTATTCATATAACATGTTTTATTTAATTGCATATTGTTATTCCTTAAATTATATATAGATTCGTGTTTCTTGCACTTGATTGCATATATTTCACAATACCCTTCACGTCGTGTAAATATAACTATTGTTATTCCTTGCATTATATATAACATTCGTGTTTCTTGCACTTAATTATTCATGAAGAAATAAGCAACTTAATTAAATCTTGAACAATATATCATTCGCAGTAGACCTAATAACATTTATCTTATTCCCAAGATGTAGAATAGTCCTACGAATTTTAATTTGGTCAATGCTACCACATTGTGTGTCCCATAGAGCTATTAAACAACTAGAGTGCTGACAAGATGGCGGAGCAATGCAGAGTTGTGTATGTGTACCATCCAAGATGGCTGCCGTAGGAAAGCGCCGCCTTCAGGCTTAGTATACATATTATTACTATAAATAAGCCCTCTGACTGAATATTATTTCATTAATGATAATTAGTATTGATAATGACAAATTATTAAACTGTCGTAGCCAAAAAGAGGCCAGGTAGAGCATCTTATTCAAATATTTAAAAAAATTAAAATCGTGTACATTACATATTTAAAAAAATTAAAATCGTGTACATTACACCCATACACCGCAACGCTCGAGTTTCAAACATAGCTGTACTGAACTTTCGGTGTAAATTGAGGGCGCCATTGAAAATGAGAGTGCTCAGGCGAAATTTGATTGGCCGAATCTATGGCAGCCATCTTGCATGGTACACACACACACAGCTCTGCGTATTTCGAACATCGAATACATTGCTGTTAGCGCTCTAGTATTCTTATTATATCTTTATGGTGTGTCCAGATAGGAATGGGTGGTGGCAGGTTTGCCAGCTTTTATTTCCAGGCATCCAGAAGTACCGTATTTCCAACATAGACTCTATCTCCATGCTAACTTTATTTCTTATGGCTGCCCCTTTTCATAATCGACGATTTAATTTTAATCATCGACGATTCACTTTTTTCATTATCGACAATCACTTTTTATCATCGACGATTCACTTTTTTCATCATTGACAGTTCACTTTTCATAATCGACGATTCAACTTTTTTTCATCGAAGATTCACTTTCTATATCATCGACGGTTCACATTTCATCATCGACGATTTAATTTTTTAATCATCATCGGTTCACTGATTATCATTAAATTGTTGCTTGAACGGCGTTCCATCGAAATCGAATCATGTTTTGAGATAAAGTGCAGGTAGAAATTTTGATAAAATCAAGATAATTTTAAAATTCAAGAATTGTTTATAATGTTTTCATAAATTTATAAAATAAAATTCAATACAATACGGTATTTACATATAGGCCTATTTCCCATGGAATCTGCCAACACGTTCTTTAAAACGTATATAGAATGTATATAGAATTTTAATATAAAATTAATTACGATAACAATTACGATATAAAAAATAATTAATTCCATAAGAAATCAATTTATAATTCTAGAGAAATTGTATATTATTCATTCTATACATTTAACTTTATAATTTCTAAAGACTTTATAAACAATTTTATCGAAAATCTTTCAAAATTACACAGAAAATATATCACAATAAAACGAGAATTCTATAGGATTTTTCTGAAAGAAAAATAGAAATTCTATAGACACTATATTTCAAAAATCTGAAGAGAAAATATATAATTCAATCTAGAATTTGTATTAAATTTAATTAGAACTCTTTCTATAAAAAGTTTATACATTTTTCTTCTAAGTAATTATCTATAGAATTATATTTCTATAGCACATCTCTATATATAGAGCATGGATGTGGTCTTGTATAGAAGCAAAATTTTGTATCATTTTTCTATAGAATTATATTTCTATAGAACTATCTTTATATAGAATGGATAGGTTTTATATAGAGAAATTATTCTTGGATAAATTTTCTATAGAATTCTATAACTCTTAAACCTCTACAGACTTTCTATAGAATTCTATAAAATATTTTACTACGGGATAGAAGGGTAATTTTTATCCATCGGGGGAAAAGTGAAGTTTTCGTCGGGGAACCCATATCAAGGATAACACTCATGATAAATAATTCATTGAGGTCGTGGAAGCAATCACGACTTCGACTTTGTTCGGAAATCTGTGGCGCGTCCAAGGGGGAGGGGAAGGCTAAATTGTTCTTTTTTTTAAATGGAGATATATGTTAAATTATATTCAAATTTTAATTCTGAAAGTGTAATTTCCAGCCATCTAGAGGTGCCATAATCACAAATTTTCATACTTCACCCAACCATGGTGGGGCTGAGGTGGTATAGGCTAGATCTTCTATCTTTGAAAGTACCCTCAGTGTGCCCTTCTATTTCGAATTCCTGGATCCGCCACTGGAAGTTACAACAAATATAAAATCATACAGTACCTTGATGCCTATAAAATAACTTATAAAATTCACCAAACTTCATAAAATATCCGTAGCTTACGGGGGGATTCTCCCCCTGGACCCCCACTGGGGCTCTTGGCGGCCCCTGTTTCCCAGCGTCATGCTCGCTTCGCTCGCTTACTGGACCTTATGAAATGCCCCCCCACCCACTTTAAAAAATCGGCCGCCGTCGGTACAGTCCTGTAGCCAGCATCTACAAATGGGGTTCATTCTGAGCACTGAGTTGAGGGACGAGCTAGGGAATTTTCTGCAGTTAAGAAAAATAGAATATATTGTATCTTACAAAAGCAATTTTCATTGCGAAGGAAAAGGAAGAAACATCCACTCCATGGGTGAAGGATTGTCAGAACACCTAAAAAGCCCTGGCTACGGGCGTGTAGTACCATTCCCCTCCCCCCTGCCCATAACCGAAGCCACGACGTCAGACTGAAAATATTGATTTTCCTTTCCAAACGATTGCCAGTTAAGTCCTGAAACCTTCCACAAACCCGTATCAAAATTTCCTAAATCAATAGGCCTATTCATAGATTTCCTGAATATTTTAAAATATACCTCCATTTTTAAAGTGGCTGGTATTCAGTTTAAGGAATTGTGTAGTAAACGGTTTGTAAATCAGCGAAAACTTGTTTCCATTCTTAACACTGGAACTTACAGTATGTAATCGTTACCAGCATTTCTTACCCGTATCGGTAGTGTTTTTCCATTGTATGACAGTCAAGATAATTAGCCAATTAGCCAGCACACTGGGGACTTTTAATTTCTAACAAAAGAATACTAAATTAAATGAAAAATTATCCCACTTTTAAGCAACATGCAAGACCTACCAGTATTCGTGTCGTCATAACCCGGCTTAAAATTAACTTTTTCTTTTTTTTTTGTTATTTCGTTTAATGTCTGCTTGTCTTCATCAATAATTGAATTTCATATTTTTCCATTTTCGGTCTCATTTTCCTAATCCAGATTGAAAATTCAATAATAGATTTAGTTTTTATTTTATTTTATTTATTTTTTGCCTGAATAAAAAGTGAGGTTTTAAAAATGAATATTATAGAGAGATGGCCTATTATTAATTCTGTGACGAATCCAGGATCTTTGTCGGAGGTGGGTGGGAAGGGGAT